ATAAAGGGTGTTTTTTAACTCAGTGGGACAATGCTAACAATCCAGTGTCACGTGGGGAAAAATCCTAACACAAAACCAAATACACTGCACTCTATGGCCTCGACTGCATCAAAACGCAGAGCAGAAGGTCATATGGAAACACAGCAAAGAACTGACAGTGAATACTCACTGGATGGGGTGTTAGAAGGGATTTTAATTTTATCACACTTCTAGATATTTTTCAAAATAAGTACCTTTTTAGAAAGAAAATTTTTAAAGAACTCATTTTAACGCATGGCAAGCACAGCTGCTTTGGAGGCACATCACAGCCTCCTTTGTCAGAGTAGCGGGCCCATGGACTACACGCCAGGAACACGCCAGGTGGCCCCGGGCCGGGGAGAGGGTGATGTTGTGCAATACCCAACACCACCACTAGGGGTGTCCCTATTAGTGCCCGTCTGAAGGATGCCAGCACTCACTGGGTAAACCACTTGCGTGCCCACAAACAGGGGAAAGGACCGTCCCCTAGGCAGACTCCTAATGCTCATGGCTGGAGAGACAGAAAATATTGCCAGCTAGCCCTTTCAAGAGAAGAAGAAAGAAAAAGTGTTTAGAATTCAAGAACTACCATCAAGGGGCTATAAAACCGTAACATCACGGAGCCCAGAAGTAAACTGAACACATGGAAGCTGGCCTCATTCCATACACGCCGACACTCCTTGTACCTCCAAGGAGCTGCTGATAACTCCCCTCAAAGAAGATCACATGAGACACTGTGGCTGTCTCCCCATGTGCACGCACAAAAGCACTTGATACCTGGGAGTTATGTGGTGTTGGAAGGGATACAAAGGGGTGGATTGTTGAGTAAGCTTGGACAGCCTCAGGTCTGGGACAGAACACAGACAGCAACGAAAGACACTGAAAGAACAAACAGCCTTGTCCTTTTTCAAATTCCAATCGAGAAGTTAAGTCATTGTTTTTTTATTTGGTACTCAGAAGAACACACAAGTACGTCTTCACTACTGGTTGCTGGCGGGAGGTTGGGGGGCGGTTACACATGGAGGAACTGTCCATAAAGATGGACAAGGAACACATAATTTATGGAGAGCAGTTTGGCATACTCTGTTTTACATGAATCCCTATGATTTACTTTTGCACTTGGAGATGTAACGCTGTGGCATTGAACACTTCATTTAGTATGAACCGGCACCATCGGGAACCAAACAGCCTGCTTCAGAACAAACAGCCATGCTCTTGCCCTTTGACACACAAATGCAAATTGCAGCCTGCCCTTTATCTGCCTGAAACATACTTCACATCACGGAAGTACATGCTGTCACTGCCGTAAAATAGAGACAAGTCCACTTCCCCACCTTCCCTCTTAGAAGACCCTTCCGAGGACATGTCGAGAAATCCCTTCCTCATACCTCAAAGAACCATTCACTCGGCGTGACCGGAACTGAGGGTCGGAGTTCTATTTCTGCTCGCCTCCCTCTTTTGAACCTTGTTCAACGTTTTGCTGTTAATCCAGACACCTCCGCAAATCCAGCTGGCCAACAGCAACATCTAAGGCCGAGGAGCTGAGCTGAGCTCTCCACTCACACGCAGCCGACGCCCTTGGCAGGCGAGTGTGCACACCCGTGGTGGGGCCCAGCCAACTAAGGAGAAAACCCTGTAACGGCAGAAACTGCGTTCCGCACGGAGGAAGAAAACAAGCACATCACAGGAGACTCGAAGTGACTCACCTCGCCGTGAGTAATTACGTTCCCCCGGGGACTCGGGCTTCCTTGCCCCGATCGGTTCCCTCCTTCCTGTCTACGCCTACCCAACATCCCCTCACGTGCATTACATGGGGACAGGTGGGCCGGTCTCTCCATCACGTTGTGTCTCCATGCGCTAAAACGATGCTGCAAGAAAACGGCTTGCCTGGACAGAGGCAAAAGGAGGAACTTGCACAAGGCATGAACATGAGAAGGAAAGAAGGGAAAGGTGAAAGAAAGGGCCTGAAAGAGGGAGAGGACTCGAAAGCCAGGTGAGGGGAGGGACCTGGCTGTATGGTGGGCACCAGAGCTGATAAAACCTAGCCAAGCTCTACAAATAAAAATAGCTGACATCTTTAAAAAAAGCTTACAGCATATAAAATTGTAGAAAAATATCATCAAAGGAAAAAAAAAAGAAAAATATATACTCCACAGTTTTATCTCAAGAATCCGTTACTGGACCATGCCTATGGCCTCGACTACACATCCGTGTGACTGGTGTGTGACTGTATTTCTGCACCATCATGCCTGCACACAAAGTCAAGGACACCAGTACACAAATCCCCCCCGGCCCCCAAGACAGGTCATGGCAGAGAAGCAAAGACTGTACAACAACGTGCCCTTCTGGAGCTACCGGGTTTCAGTGGGCTTTGTCTAAATGAGTCATCCGGTGCCGTAACATGAACGGGAAACACTCCTGCAGGGGCAGAACCCAGCTCCCAGGAGGACGCGTGGGTGAGGTTCTAGAATCGTGGCCGAAGCTGACAAAGCCGAGAGCCACCCCCCCCCCACCATGGTAGCGATTGGCCTGTGACAGCCAGCACTGACCCACAGTGGTGGGGGGGGGGTGTCCCCCAGGAAGACTGAGTCAGGGTGCCCGAGCGAGTGGAAATGGCCCCCATTCCACCCCTTGCTTCTCCTGGCTCAGTAGTGAGCAGTCTAGGCTGGGTCCAAGTTCAAGTGCTAAAGCCAGCCATGGCCAGCATCCACCCCATTCCCACGTGGGCACGGAAGCCAGAATAAACACAAATTCATTTCAAATACATCTGCCAATATTTTAAAGAAAAATGGGTGAGGTGGGGGCATTGGTTAAAACAATCGGGAATTAATAGTGTTTAAAATAGTGACTTTGGGGAATCTTTCAGCCTAGGTTTCCCACCGCGCCCCAGTTTTGTTTAGTGTGAAATCAAACTGTTCATTTGGTGAAATAGTTCTTGTTTATATAAGACTTTCCCGGAGGAGCACCGGTCTGTACAAATGTCCAAAAAGAACATCCAGAGGACCACTCCCCGTTTTTCTAACCTCCCTGGACCCAAATTCACTTCTCAGATGGGCTCTAATGACCCAGACGGCTGTTTTCACTCTGATTCCAGGGCCACCTCTGTGCCATCGGCATCTTTGGTGGAGGAAACCGCAACGACTGAAATCTGAACTTGGCAGGTCATGTGTCTCTCGGTTCTCCTGGAATATTTCACAGAAATATTGTGCTGTTCATTATAATTTCTCCATTAAGTTCATTTTCTAAATGATAATGGGGCCTTTCATCATGGACTGGTGTTGATGAATTACAAGTATTACTTTCCATTTATTCACACGCAAGATCCAATATAGCATCGTTACTGCGACATCAGGTTCTTTAACGTGCAGTTTTGTGGGGTTCAGTGTCACGCCGATCATAATACTGGCAGAGCCACCCTGGGCAACAGCCCCCCACACTGCAGCCTCCTCTTTGTGGGGTTTTAAATGTCTCCACCTGAACCACAAACAAATCCACTGGTATTTCAGAAAGACTGGTGTCATCATGCATTTGGAGAGAGCATTTTCAAATGAATCTTGTTTCGTTTTGTGCCTGTTGTTGTTCTTAAATCCAAAGGCCACAGAGAAGTTTCTGTCCTCTCCTACACTTGACCCTGGCAGTTCCCCGCCCCTTAGGGAAAGCTCCTGTGTCCCTGGGGTCCCCCTGCAGACACCTAGAACATAAGCCTTCAGCGATACGCGTGGTCTGTGGAGGACACTGAATAAACTTCCAGGTGAGTCTGGAGTCAGTCTGCCCTCCCAGGCAGACAGTGGAATTCAGCTGGGCGATTCTGCGTGCAAGGCTGGGGCAGGCGCTGGGCTGAGCCCACCGCCACTCCCGGTAGGAGGTGCAGGGTCTTGGGATTAGAATGAGGTTTCCAATCAGGGAAAAAGATGTTCTTTAGATTCCCTAAATCTCCTTTATTTGGGACATAATACTACACACTCAGGCTTTCATCTCAGAATCTTCTCTGTCTCATGGGGAAAAGATTTTTGTGCTTTTTTTCTCTTGTCTTCCCCCATGCCCCATGGGGAATGTTAGGAAGCAGTTTCTATCCTGTGAGTCTATGATGGAAGGTTAAGAATAGGAGAAAATAGACTCTATAGTCTATCTATTTACCTCTCCGTCTATCATCTATCTAGCTAAGGAAAGGTGACCCACGACAGATGTGACACCAAAATACCAGTATCTTTACTCCCCAAACGTGGATCACAAAATTAGCCTCGATCCCCTTGTCCTGCCTCACATCCTGTGATAAGATGGCTCTTTATTTTTTCCTTTCCCGACTTACTAATAAACACATGGTTCCAGGCAGGGAATGTACTACAGGGGCTTTAATTCCGCAAACGACGTGAACAGGTGCACTCGATTATTCCTCGGCTCTGAGATGTTTACGTATCATTTCACGGTTTAACTACACCAGCTTCTTAGTGGGATCCTGTTAGATGTTTTCACTAGTTTCTCAAAGCTCCAAGAATGAAACGGCAGTGGGAGAAAATCCGTTCGAACTCAGCGGGTTAGAAATGAGTCCCTCGGGTGCTGCCATACGCTGTTTGGCAGGGCTGGTAACCCAAGCGAGGCTGGAGTGAGTGAAGGTTGGGACAAAGACCGGCCTGAGGTGGGTCACCATGCGACTGAAACACACCACATCGACGGGACTTGAACGCAGAGCCATTCGGTAAACTGGGGACCCAGCTCCACTTGTCACTTTCCACCCAGGGGCGTGTAGGACTTGGCTTGTCAGTGGTGGGGATGTCCCCACTGCTTTCGCCACAGCCCAGTCAGTTCTGAATCCCAGTGTCCAGAAGCCCCATGTGACAGTGTCACATGGAGTAAGGTGCCACAGTCCAGGCCATGAGAGGTGTGTGGCCCGTATCATGGCTCAGCCCAGGAAGGTATTTCAAGAGGACAAAAAGACCATACAAGTGAGCTAGAGTTTTAGAAATACGTTATTCCAGTCAACATGAACTTGGGATCATTATTTTAATGTGTTTATCAGCTCCAGTATCAATTCACAGCATAATAACACATTGTTTTGTGCTTTTAGAAAATAGATCAATTTGCATTTTTTACCCAACGTCCTTTCAAAACATCTTTTAAAGAACGCAAAAACAAAAGTTGCTTGGAGCTTTTCTCTTTCACACTGAGAATTCCAAGCAGACTTCTTTCTATACTGAATGAAATTTTGTTCCCACTCTTTTTTTTTTTACCTAATTAATGACTTAAAGCAAATGAAAAACATTTTCATCCTTATTGGTGCTAGAAAAAAAATGGCTATATTCCTGTGGGTTTTTTTTCCCCAAGTAGTGTTCAGTCATACTCGTTAGAATATAAAAGGGAAGCTGTCGGCTTTCTATTTTGGCTCACTGCAAAGCCCAAGGTACACAAATACAGAGCAGAGGTGAGGGAAAAGGCTGGGGTTCCAAGGTCCAGACATTGGCACGCATGGGTTGTGCTCCGCCCGCCCCTACACAAAACCACGCCGCCTCTAGGTTCGCCAGCTCATGTCCCACGGCCATTGGCACGTGTTCTTTGACCAGCGCACTCTGTGCAAGTTTCTGAATTCGTTGCCAATGCTTAGACACTTGAAGAGGGTTTCGGTAAAATCTCTGTTATTTCTCCAGGACCCCCGTTCCTACACAGCGCTGATCTTGGAGCTGACTAGCCGTCACCTCCTCGGGACAGGACACAAGTTCCTTGCTGTCCCTGCGGCTCCCCACTGCCTCGCTGGAACCACGGCCCCTTAAGAGTTGCCCTTTGCTACAATAAGTCTGAGAGCTAAGGCTTCCTACTCATTCCCTGGACCTGCGACGCCCCTGATTTGAACCTGTGGCTACATCACTTACTGTGGTCACTGTCAGGAGAGTGGGGGGAGCCCCCGAAAAATGTGTGTGCAAAGCTGCCCAGAGACCCCCATTCCAAGATCAGTGCACGAAGGGCCTTTCACCACAGAGTCCTTCCAACCTGCGTGCCGAGGGGCGCTTCAGCAAAGCAGAGGCATCACCGGTGACAGACAGTCTCCTTATTTCTGTCTGAAGAACTACCGACATTCTGCTTTCGTAACGAGAGGATTTTTTACATGTTTTTTTTCAGTGCTTTTCTAAATGGAGAAATTAAATGTGCAGCGGGGGACACCCTTGGGCTTATCCTTGAGCTCTCGTCCTACTGAGACTCCCACTCCTTCTACATCCATGTGGTTCCCCCTTGGGGGGGACCCACACACTCCTCTGTGAACCACAGCACATTTGAAGAATCCGTTTCATCCAAATCACACCATGTAGACCCATAGAATTACTTCACAGGCACTCCATGGGATCTCAATTTTGACCTCAGGGGGGCCTCAGGGGGCTGTATCTTTATTCTCTTTCCAGCCTACATCTACCATTCTTATTTTTGATTTGTGCTAAGAATATTCTCCTAGCAAGTATTTCTAAGGGCTCACTAAAATAAAAAGAACTATCTGCCACACCTCCCTGATACAAACTCCCTCAGGACTTCCCTGAACAGGAAGGAGAGGGACTAAAAGCACAGACATCCAAAAGGAGAGGGCCGGCCAGTGGCCGACATTTCCATGACCACTCAGACACGGGTGCTGCCCAGGGAACACAGCGGGCTCCCGCCTGGACAGTATGGTCATCGGCCGAAACATCCTGGTCCGTACGAGTGAATGCACAGACAGAGTAAGCATCACATCAACGCTGCTAAAGAAAAAAGGTCTCCTTTTTTATAAAACAAAACGAATTTCACATTATGTAAATGAAAAGAAAACGATGAGAACAATGTTTAAGTCTAAAGGGAAGCTGGTGGAAAAAAAGGAACACGTAGGACTCGGGAAAGGATCAACCAGAGACTGCGACGACAGCCAGCACGCTGTCCCCACCATTGGCAGCGCGTGCGGACACCACAACACTAAAGAAACGTCACGGGCGGTAATAACAGAGCAATCGCTGTGCGCGCGGCTTTGGCTTTCTCGGGCCTTTCTCAGCTCGTCCGGGATGTCCTCTCTCATCGGGCCACATGGGTGCCTTGAAAGCCAGGGCATTAGCAAAGGATTCTGAGGAAGTCCCTTCGTGATTTGGTTCTGTTTGTGCAAAATCTCGAGTTGTTCTGTTTGCTCTGGGGCTGGGGTGGGCAGGGGGAGATTCCCCCCAAGTTCTAAGACCCCAAAGCAGCTCCCAGCGAGTCATTTCCTGGGGGCAGGTGGCATGAGAGAAGGCCCAGAGTGGGGGGCTCGTTTTTGAAAGTTGCACACCACCCCCAGACATGGGTCTCTGTGCAAGGAGGAGGAGGAGGAAGATGAAGAAGCTCAGCTAAATGACGCAACGCACTGGCAGCCTCTCTTACTGTCTGGGAGGTGTTTTTTTACTCTTCTGAATCTGAAAAACAGAAGAAGAAAAAGAAAAGTGTCAATGCTGCCTTTCCCCCCTTCTCCACCCTCCAGGTCTGAGGGGGAGACAATCTGAGGGGCAGAAAAAAGGGGGATCTATGAAACATTGCAATGCTAGTTCCATCTGCCTCCTTTGTAACGGCTGCTCTGTCCATATGGGGAACAACTCAGTGGAGAGTTTTACACGCTGAGCACATTGGAAGCCTTGCCAATTGTTTGAAACTGGATCACCAAATGTTGGGTCATGCAATGTGGATCACAAGACCCCTTATTTTTCGACCAGGAGGACAGTGACAGCCAGATCCAGTGCCTTTGCTTCAGAGGTCAGAAATCCAATTCATCCAATCCCAACAATTTCAATACCAAAAACAAGGTTCCTCTGTCAGAATTCTCTTCTCACCCTCAGAAGAAAGATGGGTCCCCAGTGAATTCATTGCACAGGTGGATAAATCACCTGAGCGCCCTACTGGATCTGGAGCGCGGAGGGGGAGGAAGGGAGACGCAGAAACAGGACTAAGGATAACACTGGCTCTTCCTCGCTGGCCTGCTCTAGTGCATGTACCCTCAACAGGTTGGACAGCAAACAAATAAAACCCACTACGATGACGCTTCCCCTAAGGGTCGCACACTCGGCAAATCGCCATGTCTCAGAGTTAGGGTTCTCTCCAGTGTGGGGCTCTGGGGGTGCAGGGGACTTTCAGAAGAATGACACCGTCATCTACAGAGATGCTAGGAGTCCTCAGAGAACGAGGATAGTTTCCCATTCAACGTCCAGGAGAAGATACTCTCCTAAATGAGACTTGGTCAAAATTAGGCAGCAAATGAGTTGAGAATCAGTAAAGTCCTTTCTTTCTTTTTTTTTTAAGATTTTACTTATTTATTTTAAAGAGAGGGGAAGGGAGATAGGAAAAGAAGGAGAGAAACATGGATGTGTGAGAGACCCAGTGATCAGCTGCCTCTCACTCGCCCCCAACTGGGGGCCTCACCCGCAACCCAGGCACGTGCCCCCCCCCCGTTGAGAATCGAACCAGTGACCATTCAGTCCTCAGGCCGGCACTCAGCCCACTGAGCTCAGTCGGCACCGGGCTACACCAGCCAGGGCTGAGAGTGAGTTTATAGGCCACGATGTTCACTCCTAGAACCTAAGCTAAGCATCTGCGAGGCAGGCCTCATAAGAATTTGGCACTGAGCTCAAAAATATCTGTAAATACTTTTTCATTTTTCCTCATTTTTTTTACAGCCTAATTATCAGCCGAGCTCAGAGAAGTAAGCACACTTGGCTGAGTCCCAGAGACTCTGCCACGGCCGCCTCCCCCCACAGGCAGCTTTCCACAAAGAACACAATGCAATGGTGAGCAACAGAAAGAATGGTAAAAAGATAAATTTAAAAAAAAACCTAAGGAAGAATAAACGTGGTAAAACCAAACCCAATTTTAAATGTCTGGTAGAATTTCTGTGGGGCTTAGAGGTGGGTCCTGGTTTTGTTTTGTTTTGAATGATGAGAAAATATTAAACACAAACAAACATTATTTTAGGGATAGTTGCTAGGATTTATCTGGGCATAGATTTCACTCTTCTAGGTCATGGACTTAGAACTTCTGTTTTAAATGGTTATCACCAAATGCCCCAAAGGAGGAATGCATGCTTTCTCCATGCCATCAGTGATAGAGGATGTGATTAAAGTAGGATTATTCTAAATTGATTTCATTGCATGTAATACCAATGCAACAGCCCTACTAAGATAGATGGATGGGTGGATGGATGGATGAATGGATAAGATAGATAGATAGATAGATAGATAGATAGATAGATAGAGAGAGAGAGAGAGAGAGAGAGAGAGAGAGAGAGACAGATAGAGTAAATCTGTGGGAATATAACTTCCTGCAACCTGCCTACGCCACCTTCCTCTAAAATCTACCACGTGGCCCCCATACACAGAATACAGACAGGGCAAAGGACGGTAGTGCTGAGGTTCAACCCTCATGCTCTTTCTGTGTCTTTCCTCTTAACAATGGCACGTGTGCTGTCTCTGACAAAAATGATGATGTCAGGCTTTTATTCTCTCAGTTTTATGCCTTCTCCTTCCTTTACATTGTGTGGCCTTTCTTTCTAGATGTAAAATATATGAATACCCAGCAATTCCACTTTTGGGTATTTTTCTGAAGAAGCCCGAAACACTAAATCGAAAAGACATACATTCATTGCAGCATTATCTACAATAGCCAAGATACGGAAGCAGCCTAAGTGTCCATCACTTGATGAGCGGATTAGGAAGAAGCATTGCATACATACAAGGGAATATGACTCAGCCACGAAAAAGAATGAAATCTTGCACCTGCAACACCACGGATGGACCTAGAGGGTATTGTGCTGAGTACAATAAGTCAGGCAGAGAAAGACCAATGCCAGATGATTTCACTTATATGTGGAATCTGAGAAACAAAATAAACAGACAAGCAGAACAGAAACAGACTCAGAAATACAGAGAACATTTTGACAGTTGCCAGAGGGAAGGGATTTGGAGGGATGGGTGAAAAAAGTAAAAGGATTAAGAAGTACAAGTTGGCAGTTACAGAAGTGTCTTAGGGACATGAAGCACAGCACAGGGAATACAGTCAATAATACCGTAATAACTGTGCATGGTATCAGATGGGTACTAGACTTATCGGGTGATCATTTCATAAGTTATATAAATGTCTAGTCACTGGGTTGTACACCTGAACTTAATATAATAGCATACGTCAACTGTAATTAAAAAATAAAAAAATATTTTTAAATATGCAAATTAATTGTCTCTGTTCTTCTGTCCTGCATTGCCCAAGGTGTTTCACTGCCACTGCTCTCTGCATTAAACACCTGGCACTCTAACGCCCAGGGAACTGATTAAAACACTCAACTCTCCGCCTGCCCCAGGCCGACCCACTCTTCAGAGGTGTGTGAGAGCAGAGCATCAGCAGCTCCTGCCTGTCCTCTGGTTCAGGTGAGGGCAGAGCTGCCCACACACAGGAGTTTTGTTTCTGATCAGCCTCTGAGTCCGCTCAGCTGGAAAGCCAACGAGAAGCCAGAGACCATAGAGACTAGGGGAGTCCTTCAGAGAAAGCTAAGTGAGGCTGGAATTTCAGACCTGAGACATTCTGACTGTTCTCTTCATGGTCTTCTCAATTCTCTTTGTTCAAGAAAAGCAATAAACTAGTTGAAATGAATGAAATTGTTTTTTTTTAAAAAAACATGTTTTCTCCTGTTTTCCACTGTAGCTCTAGGATACAGAATAAGAATAATAGATACTAGCCCTGGCTGGCGTAGCTCAGTGGATTGAACGCAGGCTGCGAACAAAAGTGTCGCAGGTTCGATTCCCAGTCAGGCCACATACCTGGGTTGCAGGCCACAGCTCCCAGCAACCGCACATTGATGTTTCTCTCTCTCTCTCTCTTTCTCCCTCCCTTCCCTCTCTAAAAATAAATAAATAAAATCTTTAAAAAGAAAAGAATAATAGATACTGTAGAGGGCTAATACTGATAAAATACAGATGTCATCATCGGAGACCAGCCTGCCCCCGGGTGGGGAATGCTAAGAGGAAATACGGCGGCGAGGAAGCTTCGACACCCGCTCACTACTGCGTGGTTAGCGGCTCCGCCGCCATGTAAGCCTGGGAGAGAAAAGGCAGGAGCCACTGGCTCTGGCTTTGGTGCACTTTTGTTTTGAAGACAGCTGTTATTTTCAAGGCTTTTTCATAATGTTAATCGAGTTTCTTTTGATGAATGTATTGTTACTTGTGTTTTTCCAATGCCTTGCATAGAATCTGACAAAAATATGATTTTTTCCTAGGGGGAAAACAGATAAATATTTATTTCAGGAATACTAAGAAGTTATTTTTAATCCTGCATATCAGCATTAAGAAAAAACTCACGCCTTCCCCCACAGTTCCAAAATCGGAAGCCTCTCCATCAAACAATGATATGTTAAGAGTGTAACAAAATGTCTAGAAGATGGAGTGAAACAATGAAAGCTGTCCACCAGTAACTGCAATGGAAAAGTTGTTTAAAAATATTAATTTTGTCACTAAGAAAGAGTACATAATATACTTTTATTTGACATATCTACTGTGTAGCTATCTGCCAAGAGACTGGATTCTAAATAACTGTAAAAAGCATTCAGTGACTTTAGAAGTTTTCTTTAGTATAACGCAATTTAATTTTTAAAACCTCACCAATCTTACATTACGCATACAAATATATGTACTGATATATGTATATGCATATGCATATGTATATGTGTGTGTATGAGATATGCCGCAGGAGAACAGCAGCAGCAACAAGTCCCCTTGTTCCTTTATAACGCACCACGGGGATATCCATTGTACACCTCCTGTGCAAAGCACTGAACCTAAAACTACACGAAGATGCAGTGGTCTGAAACAGATGTTTGCAACCCAAAGGTGTCCGCAGCTGTTCTGACCCACTGCGACTCGGCAACGCCGGAACTGTGTGTGAGTGCCAGGATCTGTACTCCCTGCCCTCGAAAGCATAAGCGCACAGCAAAAATGAACAAGGAGGTTTTCTGAGTTCACCCCATTTGACCCCTTCCCACCCACAGATCATGGATTGGTTAATAGTTTCCCCCCAAATCCACCCCTAAAAAGCCATCATGTTGCGTTTCAGCATGGCTGCGCTCACAGTAACTCTTTTTGCTGGTCAACCAACAGCCCAGCTTCTAAAGTGAGCTAGAAAATGACCCTGAAGTCAATCAATCAAAAATTTTAAGCAGCAAAACCTTTTAGAATCTAATGAGTGAGGTCTTATCCAGATGCACAAGAATAACAGACATCGAAAAGCAATAGTGCAACTCTTTCCTTGGGCAGGGGCATGGAAGTGGGGCATCATCAACATGTGAATTTGTGAAGTAAATGGGCCACAGGAGTGTTCGTGGGCAAATGGCTAAGGGAAATGCGCTATCAACCAGAGTACGTGTGGTTGTGATGACTTATCTTAA